ATATAATATTGTATAGGTATACTTGAGCGACGGCGGCAGAGAGTTCACATCTGCAGCGAGAGTATTGCCGCTGCTGCATTACAGAGGCGACCGGTTGTTGGGTATATATAAATGTATACTCGTGTGTGTGTGTGTGTGTTGGACGGCGAATTCAGCACCCGGTAAGTTCGCGGTGAAATGGCACACAACCTCTTTGGCCATGGACCAGTTTCGTATGCGCGATCGTGTTTGAACATATTATTTTATTTATACACCTTCACCGCGAGGTCCCCTTCGTCCGTCGCTAAGTTTTCATATCCGGAATATTTGTGCGCGTCCGTTCGTTTTTGTGCCCTTGTGGACACGGTTTTTTCCTTCTTTTCACGAAAAAAAAAAAGAAAAAACGAAAACGCGTCTGGTATAATTAGGTATATCGACGTCTCTGCAAAATATATAGCGTCGCTCTCGATTCATAATAATAATAATAATATTATCGACTTGTGTATAGTATGATGCGTGTGCCATAATATCGAAGTGCATCTTGATTGTGCAGGACGACGATAGCATAATGGTCGATACTTTTAGCCGAAAACTATATTAGGTAGGTATAATATGCATATACGTGACTAAAATATAATAATATGTTTTATGAGCGTATTGTGTACATAGGTGCTTAACGCAGTTGACCACAAAACGATTTAAAATTACAAGTTAGTGGCACTGGGTGTAGGTGGTACAATAATACAATATTACAATATTGTTATTTGTTAGCAAATACGATTTCAACTCGTGCGATCGTGCAGACACGTTTCTTGTTTGTATGTATTTCGAATTCATAAAACTATCGAATTCATTATTGTTCCAAAAGCCTCACAACTAGGTAGGTATTATTGTATTAATGTAGTTATTATTGTAATTTGTAACCAGTTATCACTGTTGTTTTGAATTTTTCTCTTCTATTCGTGAGTTTAAAATATAAAAATACGTACCTATTGCATCTGTATCTGAGTGGTACTGGCATCAATCAAAAATAATAAATATTCAATGAAAAGTTAGTCTTTAATGGAATATTTAGAAATGGGTCATGAAGGATTTTTTTACAATTCAAATTTCAAACCACAAAAGATTGTTAGGTAGGTCTCAATTTAAAAAAAAAACTTTACAATTTATTAAAAAACATTTTTAAATAAATACTTTTGAAAATAAGAATATTAATTTAATTTTTTTTTTCTTTAACAATTGTTTATTTTGTTTAGGTAAACAGATAAACAAGGATTTAACAAATTTCCAATATCTTCTTAACTAAACATACGATTATGTACACAATAAGTAATATAATTGTATTAATTTAAAAAAAATTGATGTAAGTATAATTTTTACGTTTTCTAATTTAAGATTAAGGTAGGTACATTATTCATTAAATTAATTATGAATTACGTATTGAACATACAACTGATTACCTACCTACTGATAAACTGAATTGAATTGTAATATATTTTTATATATTATACTCCGGAGTTCAGAGTGTAATATAATATAATGTACCTATATCATAGTGGAAGACACGTATACGGTAATTTGTATAAAATACCTTTGGTAAATGTTGAGCAATAATAATTCCTTAATCGAGAAAATCCAAAATAGTCATTATCACGAGATCGGGTAGGTAGAAGCCGTCTACTTATAGTTGAACCATAAAACATCCGAAGATTTCTCTTTTTTCTTCATAATATGAACAAATATGACAAGTCATTGAACTAAGTAATTATATAGAGTTCAAGTGATTAAAAACTATTAAAGTATTGATTTCGTGGAATTCAAAATACTTATATATTACTAATTTGTACTATATTATTTATTTTATCAGTTTATACTTTATAGTTGTATTGCTGTATTTATTTACTACACTGTATTGTTTATACTGGATGATAGTGATTCTATATATAATATATTATCATGTGCCATAATATTAGGTATTTAAGTAGAATTTTTTTTAAATATTGTCTGTAAATATTTTTTTACGATAAGAGCTAGTTATGTACATATGAAAGAAATATATTTTTAAATTATTTACTCAACTTGACTGTTTTAGATTTGTATATTTATATTATATTATTATTATATATAATATACAAACTAAATTATTAGACTCGGGAGAGTTTACAATCGCCAGCGCCATGTATTACTATAGTCGAGGACGCCTTTTATAAATATAGGTGGAGGTAAATATATTATTTGTGTATTGTTGGTGGTGTTTTGTTGCCCCTGATTCGGAGTTTTTTATGAGCCTTCGTCATCGTTATTATTTATAAATTATAATTGACAAAAATGTTGTCTTTTGTAGTGATGATGTTGTGCACAATGATGAGTTTTAGTTTCTTTTTGTCTGTGTTTATATAGAATAGTCGGTGATTGCGGCGAGCCGGCGAAGAAGAGGACGAAGATAAGAGACGTCCATCGTTCCAATATTAGGTACCATCATATTTTTATAGTGATTACTTTATTATTTACTATTCTAACTGGGTTCATTGAGATTTGGGGGATAAGGTTCTAGTTAGCATTTATATTTGATATAAATAATATGATAATTTTTCATATTTGGTAGAGTATTTTTTCTGAAGATTGTGCCAGTTGATAGCTTTGGTAGAAAGAACTAAGTAACTCGTCGAGTGGTACCTACACATTACAGAATTTCTTTGTTTGGAATATAGGTTTCTACATATGTACAATAGTCAGCTGTGTTTGGCAAGTTCCTTATAAAAAGGAATTCGTTCCTTTCCGTTTCTTTTTTAAAAAGTAAATAGTAAGAACTCAAATAGGAATTATTTTTAACTCCAAACATTATCATAACGTTTACCACAGACCCGGAGGTTCTACTATATTAAAGCTATTAATTTGATTGTCCAACAACCGTTTGTACCAAAAATAATAATTTACTTTATCCTCTGAAACTAGAGGACTAGTCGACTAGAGCTGCTTCACAAATCACAGCAACATTCATCTTAAGAGTGTGCAATAGTAAAAGTGAAACGTACACAACGCCGCAGAGACCCACGCGCAGTGCCACATTTAGACATTTTGCACCCCGGTGCCAAAAAAAATTGGGGCCCCTAAAATACTGACGCCCGGGGCAGTTGTACCCAGCGCCCAACCCCCCTAAATTCGGCCCTACCCACGCGGCGTACTCGCAGGAGAGGCTCATTATTATTTCACGAACAGTCTAGTTGAACGGGTCCATACAATATTTCCATTGACCAGTCTTGTAAAAGATACTTTTAGAAAGTATTCAAGTACAGATACAGATACTTATTTTCAAAAGTATTTAAAATACGTATCAGAATATTTGAAAAAAAAAGTATAAAAGTATTTACAGATACTTTCAAATACTTTTTTACATAATAATGGTAGTGTCACTATCACAATAGTGAGCAAATGGTCTCTTAAACAAAATTAAGTGGCCCATCACTAAAATTTAATGAACCATTAAATGAAATAAATTGTTTATGTAGCACAGCATTAGTTTTGAGACTCGAGGGAAATTCAAAACTAGGCTTTAAAGTTTAAAATTTTAAGGGGTAAAAAAAAATTTGGATACTTTTAATTTTTTACCATAAAAGTGATGGAAAGATCAAGTTCTGACCAAGTTATGTTCCTGGCCGACTGATATTTTGACACAAGGGTGCCCGTGTGTTGTATGTACAACACTGATTATATTAAAGTTACTCTTTTATTAATTTTTTTTTTAATTACCTATTAAATTTGATTATTTATATAAGAATGCTAGGATGACACAAGATTTCTGCTTAGAATCATGGCAATGTTTATCATTGAATTCAAATATAACACATCCATTACATACTGCACAACAACTACTGAACTGTAAGGAGGAACCCACTCGTCCACATTTTTTTTGAATTTATATTTTAAAATACAAAATAAGTACAAAAAAAAATTTGTCCACTTACCTATATGTAGTTTTATGCTAAAGAGTTAATTCTATGGAAATTTGTCTGTTTCCACACACTCAAAAATATTAAATTTATTATCCACCAAAAAAAAAAATCATTTTGGTAAATGAAAAATCTATTGTAGACAATAAACAAATTAATGAAATTAATCAAGAATACCTTCTTCTCGTGCCCTACAAAAATAGTATCGATTTGAAAACTACAACAATTTAGTTATGTATGTTGTACCCTTTCATTGTCACTGAGCTGAATACACTGTATTAAGTTCAGAAACCTTTGTATTAATATTATATCAGGAAGATATTTTCAATTAGTATTTAATTTTGTGTTATCTGCCGTTCATTTTTATTTGTATTATTAGTTATTAGGCATCCATCAATATTTTATTTCATGCAGTGGCGTAAGGTAATCTTAGAAGCAATTGCCTCTGAAATTTTTCTTAAAAAGAGGGGTGGGTAGTAGCCGGTGGATCATCTATTAAATGTAATATGATATACTCAATAGGTAGTCAATAACGATCTGAAATATAATTAGTTATATTATATTAATACATTATTATGCATTAAAACTTGGGATATTGGTAACTTGCCTCTGGAAAATTTATAGTTCGCCACGCCACTGATTACATCTGTATATCATAGGGTTTGCAGTTGTTGTACATAGTTATTCAAATACAAGTGTACTTGAAATTTATTAAGAGAAGTTTTTATAATATATGTGTACTTTCATGTACAGAGTAAAAAATACCCTTGACTAAAATCACAATTTACTATTTAGTATATTTTAAATTGTAATTAGAATTAAAATATATAACATATATATATTGACAAATACGTCATGAAATTATACTGTGAATATGTCAGCTCACATATCTAAACTTCACAGATCTTAACAACATTTGAGTTAATAATATGGGTACCTAAGAATAACATGTATAAGTATAACGGTGACCCTAGTATATACTATACTACTGTAAATACAATTCTATATAAATATTCAATTGAATTATACATATTTTATACTCTAAATTTTAGAAAACAATTTAACTACAATTTAGTCGCAACAACACTTTTCATTTTTTTTGCTTCTTTTCTTTTTCTCTTCTTTCCATTTTTTATATGTTTCATCATCTAATTCTGCATATGGTATATTCTCCAAAGTATGACGCTCTGGATCTAAATTCAATTCTTAAACATAAAAATACAATGCAATTTATTATGAATAATTATTATTATTGTCTAGACATAAAAGGAGAAAACTGAAATTTAGTTATAAAACAAAAATAACAATTTTATATGAAATAGGAACTCACTAAATTTTGTTTCATTTACTCTTTCTGCTTGAACTACTTGTGTTAAGAGTTCATGTTCAACATCTTGAGCAAAGGTTATGAGCTGTAGAAAAATAAAACAATTTAATTAAATATGAATAACTGCATAGTAAATATACAAATGCATCAAATAAATTATAAAATACACATTTTAAATGTTATATTTATAATGCAATTTAAATTAAGTTAAAACTATAAAGCTAGTAAGTTATATTATTATAATATATTAAGTTTAAATTGTATTCATACATTCTGAACTACTACAGGATCCGAGACAGTTTTATTTTTTTTGAATTCTTCATTAATTTGATGTTTAGCAGCTAAAATAATAGAATAAAATAAATTATAATTGTTTTTATTGTACTTTATGATTATTTGTATAATTTGTGTATAATTTGTTATCTTCATACTATAGGCTATAGAGGATAATCATTGAAATATAAACTATTTGTTATTATATTATATTCATAATGGAATAGTCATTGAAATATCTGTTCTCTGTCAAACATTAATAAACCAAGACTTTAAAACTACAGAATTTATGAAAATTGATTTCATCTATTCTTAGTACAAATTAATTTGTGATTCATAGGTAAAGTGGCTTTCCTAAGAAATATTAGTACACTAGTTATGGTTTTTCAATAATTAAAATATTTAAAAAAAACTATAAGTATTAAATAATTATTAATATAAATGGTTCTTACAATTTAAAAAATGAATATAATATACAATTAAATTAAAAATGTCTTAATACATTGCTTAATATGTTGTAATATGCCTTACCTAATTTAAAAAGACAAAATTATAGATAAAAATAGAAATGTAAAAAATGGTGTTGATAAATCTTGTCCCCCCTCCCAAAAAAAGGGAGAACAAATTAAAAGTAAAAATATTAAACAATATACGATACGAATCATTATGTGCATACCACTTAACATTTGGTTATCATTTTTAAAACACAGTAATCTAGCTCTATGCACTAATTTGAATGTGGTAAGTACCTGAAACAAAAATAATGTCACATTTAGTAAAAATATTAGTAATATTAGTAATTTAATAATATTTTATAAATAAATTGTATACCCAACACAAAATATATAAGAAATGTTTAAAATCCATTATTTTAAAGTAAATACGGTCTTATTATACAACTATAACTACTGTCATTTATGTGTAACTTACTTTTTTTCGTACTTCGTTTGATGACATGGTAAATGGATAGGCAGATTAATTATTAATAATTATTTACCAGGACATAAATATTTCACACAGTTATTATGAGCACTTCGTAAAATGTTGAATACTTGAATGTTATGAGTTTTATAATCATAAGACACAATTGCAATTTGCAATAGCAATTGTTGAATAATGAATATTATTATGTAAAATGTGTACAATTATTTTGTATTGTAATACATAGGAGTAAGTACTAAGTATTGCTAGAGTTACTGGCGTTACTGCTTTTGCACATTGCACAATATTTATTTAATATTTTTACATCTGATAAAAAAATAGTGATAAGTTACCCTATCTGATCAAATTTATTATCATTTTTTTTTTTAATTTTAGATGATTGTAGTTATCAACTTATCACATTCTTACTTTTTAGTTTTTTTAGATAACCATTATTTATTAATCTGTTGTCAATAATTCCATTTACTATCAAAATAAATGTCAAAATATGTCAATGTCGTTTAGAAACACAAACAATTATTAATATATTAATTTTAATATTATTATTTATTGAAGCTTTAAATATTTTAGATTAAAACTATATGTCAAAATATTTATTACACATCACACAATTTATATTTGTATTGTATAGGTACATGAAATATACTATTGTACTACACTATTAAAATTATGTATTACTGTGACGTGGAAGACCAAGAATTAATCCAAAACAAAAACATCGAGTCATGTATGTTAAATACAAATGTTAAAAATCAGCTTAACAGTAATGACTTGGACACAAGAACTGATAATACAACGACTGAAACCAAAAGAAAACCCTTTAAAATTCCTGACCACATATCTTCTATTGAATGTAAATAATTGTTTATTTTGTATTTGTAATGTAAAATTTAAACTTTATAAAATGTTATAGGTGATGGAAGTGTTAAATATACTTGTACTGTTTGCGAAAAAACTTTTAATTCAAAAAAGAATTGCTTTTATCATTTAACATGCAATGGAGATGGAATAAAAAAACCATTAATATGTTATAAATGTAATAAAACATTTAAAATTCAATCACATTTAGATTATCATATGTTAACACATTCAGGTAAACATATTTATATGTATATTATAATAAAAAATTCTGATTGTATTTAGGTTAGTAATAGAAAACAAAATCTACAATAAGCAACGAAGATTATTTTTAATATTTTTATATTATAAACTATTTCATGAAAAAATGCTGATTTTATTAAAAAAAAAATGTTTTTAATCTTGATGTAAATAGTCAATAATTATTATGATCCCTATTTTAATAACTGACTGTTAAATTCTATGATACTTAAAGGATCTTAAAAATTATATACTGCTGATCCCGAAAGTACTGTAAGATCTTCTGATACAGTTTTTTGAATATAAAAAGTTAAAACTTAACTTAATGACAATTTAAAAAAATCTAATGACAAGTTGTCTTAAAATTTTCTAAAACTTAAAATATTATTATTACTTCTGTCGTATTATCTATTTGCCACCATACTGTTATAGTGGGAATTACATAATTAAATAAAAGCTATTTTTCTCAAACATGTATTGTATAAGAGGCAATTTCAATAATGAATTAAAATATATTTAGTTACCTTTTGAGTTTTGGTATGTACAAATAACAAATGTAGTATTGCAATTTGCAGGTTTTGTTTTGCTATAAAAATTAAGTGTTTAATAATTAACTTTTGAATTTTTTTTTTGTACTTATTGTCTATTGAAAATGTTAAATAAGTTTTAATTTGTGTTTTATTTTATTTTATAAATTTAGGGGAAAGACCATTTAAATGTGTAGATTGTGATAAATGTTTTTTCACTAAATCTAAAATGATTGAACATAAAATAGTACATACAGGTAATATTAAAAAAATAAAATAATAATCGTACCTATAAGGTATTCACATAATCATATAAAATATAATTAATTAAAATTTTCATTATATTAATTTCAGTGCGTTCTCATTTTTGTGCAACGTGTGCAAAAGGTTTTAAAAGAAAGCGATCATTGGAAGTTCATATGAAATCTCATGCTCTAGAAAAACCATTTCAATGTGCAACATGTTTAAAATTTTTCAAAAATAAGCAATGCCTAAAAAAACACCACATTAGGAAACATTCTGGTATTTATACTAATAAATATACAGTTGTCAGTTAACATTTTATGTCAAAAATATATTTATTAATGTTTGGTTCTTTTAGTTTTATTTAATTTGGCCTTAAAAATGTATTAATTAATCACAACAAAATATGTATTAAATTAGTTGTACTTTATATTGCAGGAACTAAAGCATTTTCATGTGACACCTGTAAACGAAAATTTAGTTTGAAAGATGCATTGGTTTCACATCAAAAGACTCATATATTTTCAACTCAACTAGCTTGTTATTTATGTAATCAACGATTTAGAGAAAAGCGTTATTTACAAAGACATCTTGGAACTCATAGTAGTAATTAACATACATCATATAAAATAATAAATATTAATTATTAATGGTAAAATAATTTTTATGTGGAATTTTATAGAAAAAAACATTTTGAACTGTCCAATATGTATGAAGAAGTTCACACGTAAAGATAATTTGGACCGCCATGTAAGAAACACGCATTTGGAATCTGAGAACATTAGTATAAATGATCATGTTATCCGTGCTTCTGTTATAAAAGTTGTCAACAAGATTGAATCCTGTCCTGTTAGAGTAATTCAACATACTTAACTGTTATTTTGTATATAGTATATTTTAATGTTTATAGATAATAGTTATTTTAGTTTTATATTATGTTACCGTTATAGTTATTATTATACTGTGTCTACCTCATTTATATTTTTTAATTTAATATTTTATTGATTTACACAATTTATCATGAAACATTATGTGTGTTAATAAAAGCATTAGGTACTTCCATCTTATCTCGACTACCCAAAATTTCCAAAACTACCTCGTATAACTAGATAATATGCTGTAAACTTATAATATTGAATTAGTAACTTTTAATTTTGATTATTTAGTTTTTGTTTTAAATTTAAGAATATTTTTTATAATTATAATGAATTATTTTTACCTGATAAATAACTATAATACCTAAAACAAACATAAAATATTTTTTTGGGATAATACATTAATACCTAGTACCTACCTTTTTAATTAAATGTCAAAAATATAGTAAGAACAGTGGCGTATTTAAGGCCTTATGGGGGGGGGTCCGTAGTTTCTGGACCCCCCCCCAATTTTCTCCATAAACACCTATCTAAACATATAATATATATATTAAAACTAGATGATCTTGATCATTTTGTTGCCCGTAAAAAAAAAATACGATTGTTCAACTACTTTTGGATACAACTTGGCCTCCCCGGTAAGCAATTCGGCTACGTTGGATCTCGGACAATGTGCGAAAATTTTATTTGATGTATTATGCTTCCACTTGATCTACCCTATTAACCAATGGCAACCAAATAAAAAATACCTATACTAATTTATTTATTTATCCTATAACCAAAGCAACTATTTATAAACTACAATTTCCACCGCAAACCTCAACATTTGGTAGGAGGGTGAAAAATACTTTACGGCCTATTCTCAGACCTACTGAATATACACACAACATTTCATAAGTATCGGTCAAGCCGTAATGGAGGAGTGCAACCACTAACACTATGATACGAGAATATTTTTTTTTTTAGGTACACCAAAAAACTATCGTTTGTCAAAAATTGGTTTTGAGTAAAAACTAAAAATGCCCGTTTTTCATTAATTTTTTTCCCGGACGCTTTTGAAAACTAGGTACCTACTGGGAATTTTCCATTTTGATCTCTCAAATGCAACAACTAGAATATTATATTTACTTTCTCAGTCTCTCACCAGAAATTAGAAAAGATACTGAAGTTGAAAATTGAAGCTTTATTTCGACTATAGCCTATAGGCAGTTGTTAAATCAATACCTACATTCATCACTCCGCTCAGAATTTAAAATAGGAAAAAACTTAAATTTTTACCAAACTGTTACATTTTCTATTGGTTATGTATAATATATTATATAGCCCCGGGGTTTTTTCAGGGTAAATTATCATAATCATCATTGATGATTTTAATGTCCTAAAAAACCTTAAGAAATTCCCTAAAAACTAAAAAGTGCACTCAATTATTTTTATTTTTAATGATATCGATACAAATTCTAATATGCATTTGGTATGAATAATAATATAATATCTACATTTTAAAATGTTAAGGATTGGTAAAAAGTTTTATAGACTGAATTTATCGTTTTGGACTTCTTTGATCTGAAAAATGGATTGTTCAATTTTTATAGGTTTAGTATTAGTTAATATATATGTATATTTATTATGAAATTCATGAAAACCATGCATAAATTTAATAATAACATTTTTAACTTAAATTTAAAAAAAACTTCAAAATGCCCCAGAAAGCGGTTTGGTTTTTGCTCCTCAGACCTCAGTCCTTAAAATAATTTGTGTTTTTTACCGTCCGATAAAACGCTATTTGCACTGCTCAAGAAAATATAATATACATATATTGTATACCACGGTCTTAGAAGATCTTCTTTTAGACCGTGTTGCGGACACAATTTTAAGCAAAGAGTCCCGACCTTATCTTCTAAGACCTTTCTTAGACCGTGTTGTATACGGATCTAGGATAAAAAAGCCACCGACAAAAAAGCCACGGACAAAAAAGCCACGGATAAATAAGCCATTGATAAAAAAGCTATGGGATAAAAAATCCATGGGATAAAAAAGCCATCGATAAAAAAGCCATGGATAAAAAAGACATGCATTTATTTAACTCTTTTAAACCTTTTTAGATATAGGTATCTATAAGTTATAACCATAAGAAATAAGTCAAATATTTTACCGTAAAATTTAACCGTAAATACCGTTTCCGGATATATGGTATAAATACTATAAATATACATTTGAAATATAAAAGATTAAACTGATTAAGGTATATAGCAATAAAAGTCATTGCCATTTGACTTTATCTTAAAACTGGTGTGGGTATCTTAGTGTCTAAAGTATTGTATTATATGTGAACAATATAATATACTATGTGATTGTCTCTATAATCTAATATTATTATAGGTTGACCGAAACCTATATGGTTGGGAAATTGGTAAAATGTTATCTTTTATACACTATTTAGTTTCCGTTATGCTCAGTCTGTGTATAGTACAAACGTCGTGAAATAAAAGTGTAAGGTGTTAAAATTTGTAAGAACATTTTTTTGAATTTTTATAATGGAAATTGTCAAAACAAACAAAGGAGGTAGCAAAATTTGTTTTAATGGTCATATGTACGTCATTAAGCATTTGGGGAAAAATAAAATAACATGGCGTTGTATGAAAGCGAGTTCTCTCAAGTGTACAGGGACAATGTACACTGAATTGCAACATGATAATCCTGTAGAAAAAAATCCACATAATCATCTACCTGATAAAGAAGAAATAAAAGTTACTAAATGTATACAAAAAATGAAGGATCAAGTAACTTCTTCTAGTATGATAAATCCTGTAGAAATATTTACGGAAAATGTATCGCAAATAGAAACAGCAACTAAAGCTAGGATGCCCACTGAAGACACGTTAAAACGTATGCTAAGAAGACAACGATCAAAAAACTGTCCTATTAATTCTACTATGATCGAAGGTAATTACAAAATTATTATGAGTATATTTTTGGTGAATACAATAACAGTATAATAAACGTGTATCCTCGTATATTTTCCGTGATAAAATTACGTTTATTTAATATATATATATTTTATTAATTAATAATTATTAATAGGTAATTGGTGCACGACTGGTGAGCCTAATTTTAAAAGATTTTTGCTATACGACAATGGTTCAAACTCGGATGAACGTATTACAATTTTCGCCACAGATGACGGCTTAAAATTGTTATCAGAAGCTGAAGAATGGTTCATGGATGGCAACTTTGCATTATCGCCGACGGAATTCCAACAACTATATGTAATACGGATTCAAGTAAAAACAATATTTATTACACCTGTATTTTGCTTATTAAAAAGAAAAACCCAGTCTAGTTACGAACAATTAATTAAAATTTTATTAGAAAAATGCAATGAGAGGGAAATTTATCTTGATCCCCTTATAGTACATGTGGATTTCGAAAAGGCTGTGATTGAAGCATTAAAAAATACAATTGGAAACCATTGCTTACACAATACGATTATTTTAATTATTTATTATTTTATATTATATTTTTAAATTGTAAATATTAACTTTTATAAATTATACTAATTATTGTATTCAATTTTAACATTATTATACTATTATTTATTATGAAATGTACAAGTAATTTTGGAGTTGAAAATTCATATGATACTTGATTTAAAATTCGTCTTTTTTATCCATGTCTTTTTTATCGGTGGCTTTTTTATCCTGTGGATTTTTTATCCCATAGCTTTTTTATCAATGGCTTATTTATCCGTGGCTTTTTTGTCCGTGGCTTTTTTATCGGTGGCTTTTTTATCCGGTTACCGTTGTATACATAGAGTAATTATTATTACTCTATGGTTGTATTATTGTTCTATGGTTGTATACCGTGCTATTTGCTTATCGTTGGAAAATGATAATTGATAACAATTTGATGATATGAAAATCGATGTCCGTGGTTATTCATAGTTCATCGTGATTAATATTAAATTAAATAAATTTCATGTTTCCCATGATGTATAATGCGACGATTACCTATGCGCAATTATTATATGTAGTCGCCTACATTTTTGATTGATTATTGATATAACAGCTTATTACCGCAGAATAATAATATATAATATTATTCTGTGTTATTACCTACAATAAATTGATTGTAGATAATAATATTATGTGGACTCGTTCTATAGTAAATATTTAAGATAATGCAATTTCATATTCGAGTACCGAATATTGGACTGTATACGTTGACAGGTTTTGAACTAAAACGTAATGAAGCGATGATTTTCCATTGATATATTTTCCAACCATTCCCGTTTAACATTCAATTATGGCATCAAAGCTCACTCCAAAAGTCAAAAAAGAAACGAAGAAACTCAAATTGAAAAAAAACGAGTAATTAATAATTTTACAGTGTATTAAATAAATAATCATACGTTTTTGAGATATTACTTTGGTTGAATTTAAATATGCCCATGTACTTTGTCTAGCAAAACCGATACAGTCGTCCACGAAAAAGATTGGTTTATGCGATTCGATGCACCGTTGAAAATCATCTTGACTGCTAGGTTTTTTGCCGCGTTTCTCGTTCACATTTCAGACTGCGATGAAACATTTAACTACTGGGAACCGGTAAATTCAATACAAATATTTTTGTAGTTAAAATGTTTTGTTTCTTTTTGTCTCAAATAAATCGATTTACTAATTGTCAGTTTTCTGTTTTAGACTCATTATTTTGTTTTCAACAGCGGTTTTCAAACCTGGGAATACGCGCCTCCTTATGCACTTCGGTCATATTTATACATACTTATTCATGCAGTACCGGTGTACCTTTACAAAGCACTGTTTAACACTAGAAAAATCATGTTGTTTTACCTAATACGCTGTGTGCTTGCACTATTGAGTTCTCTTTGTGAACTATACTTTTACAAGTACATTTTATTAACAATCAAACATAATTGAATGGAGTGGCACGCTCAGCTTTTTAAAAGTGGCCGAGGTTGATAAACATTTTTATTTCCAGTTAGTGTTTTTATTTTTTTTATTTTTTTTATAGATATTTATTATTTACATTATATATATACATGTATAATTATTATATGCTCACCTTATTAGATTAATTAAGAAAATAAAATCAATGGTGTGAGTGATATTACCCATTGGTTAATAATGAAACAACACTGAGCATGCCACTAATTGAATATAGTTGACTTAATAACGATATTTATATTGTTGACTTTTTCAGAGCTATATCAAATAAAATTTCATCCACCGTAAGCAATTATTACTTGTTTATAACAGTTTTTAGTCCTGGAATGTTCATTGCATCTACTGCATATTTGCCTTCAAGTTTTTCTATGTAAGAATAAAATCTAAATATTTTTAAAAACCTATGGAAATTGATTAAAAATTCACTTGTTCTAGGTACATGACTTTCTTAATTATTGGAGCTTGGTTAAACAAAAATTATGAATTGGCAATTTTTACAACTGCATTGTCAACATTTTTAAGTTGGCCATTTTCATGTCTAATCGGGTTAGTTTAGTAATCTGTATTTCATTTATAATATTATTATTTACAAATTTTAATAGTTCATTAAGTTCATTAAGTTATAATTTAGTAGTAGTTTGATAGTTTGTTTCAAATCCAGGTTCATATCATATTATAATAATATTATATTAATAGTTATGTTAAAAATATTATTATGTTTGCTAAAACATATTAAAACATTTGTTTAAAATTGATATGTGTTGATTTTTTCTCCACAAAAAATATCTTATGGAATCAATAATATATTATTTTATTGTGTTTCTATTTCAGGTTACCACTTGCATGTGATATCACTTTCAGAAACAAAAAGTATTTGCTATTTATTAAATGGTGTTTGATATCATTAGGGTCAATTTTAGTGAGTGCAAATGAACATTATTATTTTATATTTTTTTTATTGGTTAAGCATTTATATAATAATTCTTATTGCTTTATAGGGTTATCAAGTTGCTACAGATTCATATTTTTATGGCAAGCTTGTAATTGCCCCTTTTAATATTGTTTATTACAATATATTCACGAGTCATGGTCCTGATTTATATGGTACTGAACATTGGAGTTTTTATTTACTAAATGGTATCCTTAATTTCAATGTTGTATTTATACTTTCGCTGATGGCTCCTATTGCTATTGTATTGAAAAAGGTATGTACATACATTTTTTAAATAAAATAATTTCTTATTAGAAAGTTATTAAATGATAACTTAATGGTTATCTATAGTCATTGATAAAATATATTATTTCAAGCATAAATGTTGAGGTATCTTGTCATTTATGTATGGAATTAAAATTATATAATAATTAATAATTATTTGTTTTTTATACTGTGTCAATTGATTTTGATTTTATTTCACAGATTTCTTTAAATTTAATAAAACACAATTTTAAATTATAAATGCATGACGTGTAAATTATATATTATATAGAACTTAAATAATATATTTCCAAATTCCAATGCACTCATAGCATACAATAATTAATCTGTTAGGAAATAATTTTTCTGATTCTCTTTCAGTAATAATAGTATATTTTCTTGAATCATATTATTATTTTTCTAATAAATAAAAATGTTTATTGTCTGATTTTTAATTTTTATAGTAGTTATTATTAATACAATTTTAATATTAAATAAATAAAATTGATTGAATTGTTTTATTAGGTTCTTACAAAAATCGGGATCAGATTTTCTAAACAAAGCAATATTAATAACAAATCAACATGGATATTATATTTATCACCGTTGTATTTATGGATTTTTGTTTTTATAATACAACCACATAAGGTAAAGTATATTTTTAGTAACTCTATGAATATTTAGATGTTTGATTTACTTAAAGGACCATAAAACACTCAAAATTGACTTTTATTTTAAAAATCACAAAAAATCTGACTAAAAAAATGGTACCAATAATATTTTTCTGCGTTAAATAGTTTTTGAGTTACGAAGTCTTTTAAATCACGCGTGACGTCATAAGATCCTACTCGCGGCGGCAACGTGTACACGCGTGCCTGTTACTAATCGGGTGTCTTCTTACTGTTCTTAGTAAATTGATTCCTATACTTTTGTTTTTCACATAATTTTTCTAAATATGTAATTGTTATCTTTTTGATATGATACTATGCTATGCTATTATTTATTTAAGACCAATAACATCTGGTTCATATGAGTAACAAAACAATGTATTTTATCACGTATTAACCATTATTATTTATTAACTTATTATTATTATTGTTATTATAACAAGTACGTATACAAACATTGTTAACAATTTAAATTGATTTAGTATTATTATAAGTATTGCATTAAAAAAAAAAAATTAATATTTGTACATACAGCGAGTAATTCGAAATACAGAAATTAGGTAGGAAGTTTATCGTTGGGCCGAAATCCTACATAAACACCATTTTCTTCTGGATAAGTCTGTCTTATTTTATAAATAACACATGATGGAATTACTATCCTATTTCCCTTTCCAATCGTTGTCCATGCATTTATCCATGAAATAAACTGTTTGTAAGCCAAGTATCGCCAGACTTTATTTTGTGGTTCACTTTTACACAAAACTTTTTTTTTCTGTTTTTTTTTAGACTTTAAAATCATTTTATGACGAGAAATATTTAAAACATCTTTGTCTAAAACTAGTTTGTTGAATAAAACATTGTGTGTCACACAACCAGCTATTCCATTAAACTTTAACTTTTTTGGTGTACTTGTCATTATAGAAGATATAATTTCTTTTTTTTCTTTTTTCTCGTTCGGATAAATTTGAAGAATTTGAAGTAGAGCAGGGTATATTTTGAGGAACCGTAGGAACAGAATTTGTGTTAAGTTTTACTTTGACTTTTATATTGGGTATTAATTGTTGTCTTAATAAATCTGACTGGTTATAGTCTTCAGACTTACAATGCTTTGAACAAATTCTCGCTCCATTACCGGGGTTAAAGTTTTTTCATTTACAATAATTGACCCAACTTCGAAACCTAGTAGGTGATTTTGAATGACATGGAAACACATGAAAATGAACTCCAGTTGACGATTGCTTTTCACTTCTTTCATTACAATTAAAAACAGAGCACAGCGTCATTTTCACAATCTAAAGTTAAATGAAAATTCAAAGCTTATTCACAGAAAAAAATATTTTGTCATAAGCTATAGGAATAAGCATAAAACTTGACTAGCAAACAAAATAAACGAAATATTAATCATTAATTTTTAAATTTTATGTCTGGTACCAAAAAACATAAGAAAAATTGCGTAAATAATCCTAGTATAAGAACCATCTAAATTGTAAAATTTTAATTTTAATAATAAAATTATAAAATAAAACTTTTTATGAAAAATTATAATGAAGGTATCCTGTAAAATTGTAGCTTCAATAATATATATGAAATAATAAGAACTTCATTATAATTATTAAAAAAATATTATGATATGGTATATTATGCTCAATAAAATAAAACCTCGTTATACCTTTCCCGGATAAAAATACACGGCCGCCGCCTCGGTGCGCTGTAGAGTTGGATCTTATGACGTCACGTGTAATTTGTTAAACGCTGTAACTATAGAACGAATCACCGTTCACAACTTTTATTTACATTTTTTGTTTATGCAAATTCGTAATAATAATAATAGACAAAAAAAAAATATATGATTTTTGTGTTGTATGGTCCTTTAATAGTTTGTGTAATAGGTCATACCATTTAAAAATATATAAATACATTTTAAAGCTTATCGGTTATAATTTAATAATCAATACATGGTTTTTTTTTTTTATTTAGGAAGAAAGATTTTTATTTCCTGTTTATCCATTGATACAACTGGCGTCATCTATATTATTAGAATATATTAAGGATATGAATTTTCATTCAAGTGTTATTCACCGTTTTACTTTTCTTAAGCTGTATAACAAATTGATTGATAATGTTTACATACCTTTTCTCTTCGTATTTTTATTAATGGGATTGTCGCGAAGCACTCTATTAGTTAAAGGTTTGTTTTTATTGTAAATAATCATAATGAAATAGTATTCTTGCTAGGGGGATCTGAGGGAGATGCAGCCTTACACAAAATGTCTAGAAAATTTAAAAATGCTTTTCAGTTTGTATGTATTACATAAGGCGTTAGCATGTATTAAAAATGTAATTTGTCTGTGGTTTGCTGCAAAAGTCTAAAATTTTTATATATTTTAGCATCAGCCATCAGGATACCAATTTTATGAGGGGTCCTTGTTAAGCCTATACTATAATCTATATTCTATGCAACTAATTATCAACCCCCTCCCCCTACACACACACACACACACACACACACACACACACACACACACACATAAAGCAAACTTGATATAAACATCTTGACTATACCACTGTACTGAAACTACGTTTATGTATAACGAAGATAATTTTTTGTTTTTATATTATGTTTAGCATATCATGCACCTATTGATACTTACACACAGTTGAGTAATGATTATCTTACATTGCCTGAATCAGATGTAATAAATGTTTGTGTTGGCAAAGAATGGCATAGATATCCTTCATCATTTTTTTTACCAAATGATAGGTAACTATATTTTTTTTTTTAATTCTTATTTATTTGATATTATGTAAAAACAGTTAAGTTATAATATTTTTATATTTTCAATTATAGATGGAAAATGCATTTTATTAGATCAGAATTCAGAGGACTTTTACCTGGCCGTTTTAGTCCGGAATCTTTGTACAATGTTGTAGAAAACTATAATGATCAAAATAAAGAAGAGTTAGATAAATATGTAAGTATATCACATTTTTCTGAAACATATTACATTCTTACTTATGTAATTTAAGACACTTTATTGAACTTTTACTGATGTTACATTAATTTCAGAGTGATATTAGACTGTGCCATTTCTTAGTAGACCTGAACACTAATCGAAGTTCAGAATTGGAACCTAATTATTCTGAAAATAATTTTCAATGGACTATTTGGAAATCTATACCATTTCTAGATGCCCAAAAGTAATAATTTGTAGTTATATTCTTAAATAGTAATGTTCTTATACAAATCATAGACTTATATAATATAATACTCTCAATTTGTTTAAAATTATGTTATTATTACGTTTCAGGACACCACTTTTATACAGAACATTTTACTTTCCATTTTTCTGGGAAGAAAATGTTAAGTTTTCATCTTACAATCTCCTTATGCGAAATGATTTTAATAAAATTAATACTAAACCGCACACAGAACCAATGCACTATGTGTTTTAGACAAAGTAGGTATAAAATATAAAAATTATAAAATTATAATTTTAGTTTTAAAAAAATGATATAAATATAATTGTATTATGTTATATATTTAGATGTCAATGAGATTATAGTACAATTTTTTATTATTTGTTTGAAGTCTTCGCAAATCGCAAGTTAAAGGTTTCATGTGATACCAATTTTATACCTTTCTACACAAATGTAGTTATTGAAAAGTACACTGCCAAGCAACATTCTATAGGTTTTAAGTTTCATTTATGTTAACTTGCTGAATCATAGAAATTTAGATTTGGTTTTTATTTAATATTATACATAATATATTAAAATGATTACTATCAGACTATTACTGATAAATCGGTATAGACATAAAATATGATGTATGATTACTGTTATCTTTAATATCTATGTCAGCATACTATTTGTTTTCTCTCTCTGACTGATGAGTAACGAGTAACAAATTTTACATACACAATAATAATTACAATCATAATAGTTTCTAAAATTAGAGTGAAATTACCTTTTATAAAATTTAAAGGTAAGATTATTATCTAGGTCATTTCATAGGCGTTTTATGATATTTTAATTTTAAAACGAGTTATAAGTAATTTAAGATATAGGTACAAATAATTTACAATTTTAAAATATTCATAACTTACTTTAAAGTTAAAATTTAATAAAAAGTCTTTTATAGTCATTTCATTCTAATTTTAGAAATTATTATGATTATAATCGTTATTGTTGTGGATGTAAAGTTTTCTATGTTGCCCGTGGGTCAGAGATAGTAAGCAAATAGTGTGCTGACGTCCTTTTAGGAAGATGTCTCACTCGCATGTGTTGTTTCTCCCTTACATTTTTAGAATAATCTGCTATTTCTTAAAAACAGGTGTATCACTATCTGCTTTTTATATGATCCCTGGTATTAGGTATTACTGGTAATGTGCATGCTGGCTCCACCAAGCTTTTTATTTTTATTTTTTATATTTTAATTTTGAAGCAATTTACAAGTATTTTGAATTGTTATATTTTATATACACGTCATATCTTGCATCAAAATTAAAATATTGAAAAACTAAAGAAAATTTTGTTTGTAATATCAATAATAGGTAAATCCACTATTATAATAAAACTAACGAAGCTATATGAGAATTATTGAACATAATTTTTCTATGTTACACACTCGTAAGACAAAGACAGCACTGTACAATGTACACATATGGATGAGATGCTCTTTTTAGTTATGTTATTTTTAGCTAGTTTCCAAAGTATCTAAACATTCTAAAGTCAACCATCTAAAAAATGATTATGAATCAACAAACACATTACCAATTTCCTTTAATAACTTTATAGCTTACACTATTTGTCTCTTTCTTAAATTAATAGTAATTTATAGTTGTTTCAAGTCACCTAGTTAAATTTGTTGTCAATACATATTACAACACCATTTCTGGTGTCCAATATTATTATTATCGTATTACACTTGCCTGACTGCATCAAAAAAATAATACATTCTTTTCCTAACATTTTTTCAGCTATATTATCTTAAACATACTATAAAATTACAATAGTATATGACTCTTATTTTATATTTAAAGACAAACTATTTTAATTACAATTTAAATAATTGTGAAAAAAATGATCTCATAATGTACCATGTTTTTATTTAAATTATTTAAATATTTAGCAAGCCTAATTGTAACCATCTCAAAATTGTAAGATACCTATACAAAATAAACTGAGATATGCATTATGCATTTAGCATTTAGATAGGTTTAATTTATGCTTTTGCATATTAAATATATACTAGATATATTTATGATTTGGTCAACATTTGCTTGTTCTTAAGTTTTATATATCTAATAAGGTACAATGTCAAATTGTTTTTAATTTAAATATTGAAATTGCCATGAAACTGAGAAGCAAAATATTGTTATACATGGTTTAACTAACAAACTTAGTACTTAGTAATATTTTTATTTTTATTCTATATTCTATTATTCTATTATTGAATTAAAGATATAGATTATTTTGATAATGTTAATTTGAAATTATATAATGTCCATAGTACATGTACTAAATGTGTAAAATAAGTAATTGTTTATAATATTATTTTATACCATTTTTATATAAAGTAATTAATACTACAAATGTTGTATTATTTTATTTATTTCTTTGAATGAATTATATAAATATAAAATAAATTATGCGATAGTTTTAAATTTAACCTATGCCTCTAATTTTTGTTATTTCTTTATTACAAACAACAGTGTTATAGTCATAACGATTACCTACTTCCCTAACCAGTTCACTTCATGCATCATAATTTAATTGAATTAAACAGATTTGCTTTAATTAATATTCCAATTTATTCTTATAAAATCAATTATAGAGGTAAAAATATTCTAATCTAGAACTTTATTCTAAATCCAAAAATCTATATTTTCGGAAAAAAAATAATGTAAATAAATTTACAACTACAAGCGATTTTTAAAATGTGGATGTTTGTTTTCATAAAATTATTACAAGAGAATTAGGGCATTCCGCATTATGCACTTAACCAGTATTGATCAGTTGTTGTTTTCCATTTATAATCAATAGAAAATTGTTTTAGGTACCTACTTGAATCTTGGTTTACCGTATTTTTTTTAGCAGGCTTTAATAGTTTTTAAAAATATATGAATAAATTACTAATAAAAATTCCTAAATTGATCTGTGTAAAAGTATATGTTATTGTTGATACATTTATTATTATTTATTATGCATAAATAAATAAATAAAATAATATAAGTACAATCATAACATGCCAAGCCAGCTGTAGACTTGGGGGTAGGATTTCAAATAAAGTACTTGGAATATTTTTCAAGTATTTGGAAAACTTTAGAATACCGTTTCCCAAAAGTTATTTAATGTTGTACCTAATCTGAATAGGTACCTACTTTTGAAAGTATTTCATACAATACTCACATCTATCTATTAGATTCTGAGTGAAACGATGAATGTATTGATTTTACAACGATGTGTGTTTTTTTATTTTTTTATTTTTTTATTTTTTTTTGTATCTGTGTACACGATAAGTAGTCGAAATAATGCTTCGATTTTCGACTTCAGTATCTTGTTCGATTGGAAAGTGAATATCGTTGGTGCATTGGGGAGGTCAAAATTTAAATTTCCCAGTAGTTTTCACAAGCGCCGGGAAAAACAACATAAAAATTAAGGAAAAACGGGAATTTTTACGCAAAATTGATTTTCCAAAAAATCGATTTTGGTTATTGGTGTAACTCTAAAACAAATGAACGTATATACATGAAATTTTCACTGGTTGTTTATATTTGCATTTTCTATACACGATAACATTTTCAAAATATTTTGATTTATTTTGAACTGTTTAGGGACATTTTCATTTTCCATTTTTTTTTAGTTTTTTTTCTAAAAATTTCAATAAAATTTTATTTGTTGGTTGCGAAAGCTTGAAAATTTAATAGAAGGCTCCTAATATGTTGTTTCAAAGGCAGATGAAAAATATTAAAAATCCTTAGTCACAATTTTTTCTTATAAGCATTTAAAGTTCAAAAATTGACAAAATATGGAAAAATCACGAAAATTAGCAAATTATTTTGAGTTAAGAATTCGTAAAAATTTTTCTTTTTAAATCTAAGATTTGAAAATCTAATACAAGATTACTCATAAGATTGTCTACCTTTATCAATAAAAAAATTTCTACCGGAAAGTCAAATTAAATTTTTATGAGCGTTTGAAATTCAAATTTTTACAACATTGGATATTCACTCGATTTCTCATGTGGCAATTTCCTTTTTTTGTTGTAATTAAAAAACGAATTACTGTAGATACATGAAAATTTCACTGAATGTTTATATTAGCATTTCCTATACACCCTACAATTTTGAAAATATTTTGACACTTTTTGAGCCGTTTACGGACATTTTCAGTTTTCAATTTTTTTAGTTTTTTTTTTCTATAAATATCAATTAAGTTTTATCTGTTGGGCCAAAAAGTGTAAAAATTTAATACAAGGCTCCTGATATATTGTTACAATATCAGTTGAAAAATATTAAAAATACATAGGCACAATTTTTTTTTATAAGCATTTTAACATCGAATTTTGATAGAATTTTTCAAAATCTCGAAAATTATTAATCATCGTAATTAATAAATTATAAAATGTTCAGTTTTTATAGCTAAGTATTGAAAATTTAAAACAAGATTCCACGTAAGTAGTTAATTCTCTTACCGAAAAATCTAAAAAATATACAATCACAGTTTACTTTTATAGTCATTTTATGTTCAAATTTGGACGAAATTACATATTAAAAATCCTAGTTATTTTGTTGTGATTATATAATATTATTCGTGGGTACCTACTGGCTACTTGAAACTTCTAAAGTGTACTATTATATATATATGATAGTATCAGGGTTTGTTGTTGGTGAATAACGTGTTATAAGTACCTAATGGATATTGTGATATGATTAATTTGGAATTTATTTTAGGTCAATTTTTTTTTTAATACCATAGATATGTATATAATTGTCTTAAACCTAGACTGATATACCGTCTTCGCTCAGAATCGTTTTTCTTATACAATGATATTGAATCATTGAATTCAAATTTAATAGCATCCATTATACAGTGACCCACTTGTAACCTACTGTACAGCAGAGCGACATCCACTTACCCACCTTTTTTTATAATACATTTATAGTAAGTATTAAAATACATTTTTTATTTTAATACATTAAATTAATATTTTATTGATAGGTTGTAAATCATAAATTACACAGTTATATATTGAAATACAATACCAATATTTTGACATGAGCCATAATATAAAAAAAACCTACTAGGTACCAACGAATAGTATATTTTTCTTAATATCTAAAATAAAAAAATATTAAATACACATTTGGAAAGGATTCTTTTATAGTATTTTAAATACTTTTTCAATATTTGTACTTTGCAAATATGAAATAATATAATCTGAGTGCATG